CATGATTTATTTCAACAAAGTGATACACTCATAATTTAGATCGAGTTGTAAAAATCTGTTTCTGAGTATGGAATTTATAGTGTTTTTTCCAGGGGATCCCCAAACGTGTTCTTTATTAACAGCAATACCGTAAAAGAGAGTGAGAAATAACCTGTTTGAAATTCTTTCCACAGTGCATTCGTAAAGAGAAGAATTAATAAACCCTGATAAATACTGATGATTCACGATCAGTTGGGAGGTTTACTATTCTGTGATACGTGACTCTTGCTTTAACCTCCAAACATTCATTTTGATCTTTTTCTCGCGTTATGCTCAATAATCAGACACTTTATACACTCTGTACTTGTTTTTTTTTTGGAATTCCCAATCACGTGAGTTAGTTTTAACCGGTATCAACAGGATTTAAAGTTTTAAAAAGGATTTTAAAAATAAAAATAAGAGCAATGTCTGCTTAATATAATGCACGACTGCTCAAAAATAAGCTTTCAAATTACTTCAGAATTAAACTCGTTCAATGATTTGAAGTTTCAAAAAGTATCATATTCTAATTGGATAAAAATCAATTGAATGTTCCTACCTCAAAGGAATTTCCTGTATGCTAAACAATTTGCTTAAAAGTCACGTTTTGTTTATGCTAATTTGCTTCTTGTTTCTATTTATGGACAGCAGAATATTCTTATGATACAAAGAACTCTAAATTGTTTTTAAAGCAGATTCTTCACAGAACAAATTCCTTTTTGCATTAATAAATCGTAACTTAGCGCCGGTCGATGACATTTGGGGTAAAATATGATCATTGCAATAAACTTTGCGTAAATGAAATCCACTTTACATCAAAATAATTAATACAATTGTATTTAATCTATCATGTTTAATAGTTTTTGCTTAGATTTTCCACTTGGAAATACCTCTTACCATTTCTAAGAATTTAATGTCACTTTGAGCAAGTCTTCTGCATGTAAATAACACACATCGACTAAAGTGGGATTCGAATTCATTTATTATATTTTTAATGAGTTTTTATTCCAAGAAACTTGGTTTTAAAATATTCATCAAATTGAATTTTTTTCCAAGATGACAAAAAGGAGTCTCGAGATGTTAAAAAATATACTAAATAGGGTTAAGTATGGACTGATACTTGACGTTTTATGTGTGACTTAACCTCATATTATAACCAATAATTTTCACAATTTCTTTTAAGATTGCAAAAGACATAGGAATGCAATACAAACCTTCAAACAGTAAACAATTTTGTTCATTAACCGGAATTGACTTGTATTTATTATAACATAATTCAACTCCTAATCTTCCTAACTTGATTTAATACAATAATTTTAACAATAACCATTCATATATTTTTAAAACTAGTTTATTAAAGTTCAATGGATCCTTTATGATCGTACTTTTGATGAAAATTATTGAATTAATTTTTTTTTAAATTATAAATCTGTAAAAAAAACTTGTTTAAAAACCAGACAATTTATTTCAATCATCTTTTATTGATTGTTTCTAATTAGGAACTTTAAATTTTAATTGATTACCGACAGAATATGGAATTGTGATTGAATATTAATATTACAAGTGAAATCCCCGTTGTGTATGACAGTAAGCGTTTTTAAACAACGGTTTGAATGTAAATGTTAAGTTCAATGGAGGAACAGCTATACGATATGATAAGGGCTTATTATTCTTGAACTTCTAAATTGTTTGAGCGATTTTACTGATCTTACTAAGAAGCTAGAACGATATGGCAAGAACAAATTACAATATTCATTAAATTACATGTGAAATGACAAAAATATACAAAACTATCAAAAAACTTCAGAAGCTTTACGTCAATATCTGCAGTAAACTTAGTCTAACTCCCTAAATGACAATCAATATCACAATAAAAAGTTTGATTCCCTTGAAACTTTGTAGATTCTAAAATAAATCTTTACATGTTAACAGATTATGTGTAGATCAGATGAGATAAAAGCAATTATGAGTTATATAATGAATCTCGTGATGCAAAAAACAAAAGCACAAAGTTATTTTATTGTATTCAAGAACGCGAAAAAAAATTTTTTTTTAACGAAGCAATTAAGTCACGATATATGACTTTATTATCGAGGGAGAAATAACAAATCATTGAATATTTATATATTTTTGCAGGTAGACATCTTAAAAGGCTTTAATAATGTGATGAAAACGTAGACATTATCGTTAGTTTCTATATCAATCGATCAATTAAAAATGAATATATTAAAACGATCCCGATCACTATAATGCTAATCAAAATTACCATGCACAAAAGTGCATTTCCCATATCATTGAAATTGTCGTTCACGAACGATCTTCTTTACATAACATCGTTTTAATGGCATTAGAAAATCAAAACAAAAAAAAAGTTTTTTTTTACGATCGATAATGATGAGTATGTTTATGTTATGAATCGTGGTCATGAACGATTTGAAATTAAAACAATTTAACATTGTATTGAACGTAGCAAAAAAAATTATATGATTAAGATCAAGTATACGTGCAAAATTTAAGGTAAATGTTCAAGAATATTGGTATGAATGGACATACACAACAGATGATTATTAAGAATTTATTTTTAGATCAATCGGAATTAAGAAACTCTTATTTGATTTTTAATATTGCGTATTTTGCATATACTCCTTGCTGGCGTTGTTTCTGTTGATTATGTGCATTTGTGGACCAAACTTACAGTTGCAATGAGACAATTTTATACTTTTTTAATAAAAATAATCGAACAAAAATAGTCAATTTAATGTCTTTTAATTGAGAAGTCGTTTAAGTAATTTTAATAATCAATTATTTTGATGTTCTTCAAGTTTGTAAAAACACCACATATTTCTTTTGAACTGTATGCATCCAATATTCATATAAAAGTTATACGCATGAATCAATAAATTAATAGCTCTTCATTTTCTTCTTCGTTCCTTTTACAAGCTATTAAAGACAACGACAACAAAATGTTAAAAAGATCAAAAGAAAATTAAATCATCGTCTTGATCACATGGAGCACTTTTACTTAAAGAAACCCAGAAAGTAATTTAAACAGTTTGTTTGCGATTTTTTTTTTGAACAATTTTGCACACATTTTATTGGCGTTTGTTATTTGCCAAAAAACTATCTTATTATTATTTGTCTATTATTGAAAAGTACAAAAAAAGAACGCATATGCTCTGTTAAATGCAGCGACAAAAAAAATATTAATATTAAACAAAGGTGAAAATACCGGTTAATGATAACATTTAAATTTTTTGCTTATTTTTTGCAGATATTAGTCACGTAATAGAGTTTTTGTGCAAATTATTTTAAGAATTCCTTTGTAAATATTTTGCCGGTAAGAATTTTTTTTTCTCATCTCATAACACTGTGTTCACGGTATTTTCATGTTATTTTAGATATTTGAAATGTAAACTGCATTAATTTGGATTTCATTGATTAGTTTATTTAATATGTAAAACAGTTAAAAGCCAAAAATTAACTGAATTAAATAACATTTGATTCAGAACAAATCTTTTAACATCTGAATAGATGTTTCTCGACTTGGTAACATTCGTCATTTTCTAAGTTTCCTTTTTCCAAGGCATTTATTCCTAATGAATTTTTTCAAGAATTTGTATGAATGATATAGTTTTAGTGATAACATGTAAAGTGCAATTCAAAATAGCTGGATAATAAAACCAGTTACATACAATATTGTCACACTATTAATCATTTAATTACTTCTTCTTAAGAAATTTAAACGTAAACATTTTCGGCAACAATGACTCAATGGGAAGTTTTTTTATAAGTTTCAGGACAGATTCACATGTCTTAAATGTATTTTAAAAAGAAAAACGTGTGCATCAAAAGATTTTTTGACATTCTAAGAAGTTCTTAATTTTAATATGAATTACAATCTTCATGAGCTGATTTCACTTAATATATTCATTTTGAAATTTCAACTTTAATTTCCCGTTGCTACTAACCAGTCTAATTTTCCAAATAATTAAAATATTTTCAGAATACAAACACTCACTTTAATTTTTAAAGCTAGGATATTAATTTTATGTAAAAAATCTTGTAATTAAATTAAATATTCGTAAGTGAATAATTAGGTTATCTACTTATTAATTACATTGATGAATTAAAATAATTACTCATAATATTTCTTAACAAACGAATAATTTTCTGACTTTCAGAATTGATCTGTGAGGGAAGGTAATAAATCAAAAACAAAATAGAGAATAGAATTAATTACAGAAATTACTCTAAAAAATTAACTTAATTAAAATCTCATTTTCCCAGTATGTAAATAATGTTTTGCACCTGTTTGTAGCACTTACTAATTTGTCACGTCAACTTGACACTTACCTTATTGAACGTTTTTAAGGAAATAAAAAAAAAATCCCCTAAAACGATCTGTTCGTAAAATTGAGTTGACTCGACTACTGCATTCACATGATATCTATAAAAATGGGCATTACAGAGTCTAAAGATATTATTAAGAAACAAAGAAAGTTGTGTGTACTTTCCTTAACCGAAACGGTGACGCATGGCTTTTTCGTGACATCACAGTGAAGTTTTTTTTGTGGGAATTTTTTTTTCTCCCTTCGACTCGTTTGCCGCTTCTTTTCTTCATTTTCTCTGTTTTGCTTTTCTTACTAGTTCTACAACACACATACAGGCACAATAAAGAAAAAAAAATCATTCATAAATGTGCAATACATTCAAAGAGCACAAAGTTGTAAGAGACAGAATGTTAATATTGTGAGTATATACGGAGAGCTTTTTATGCATCTCTATGGCTCATACACACAATATTCATAATGTAGTAAAGTGTGTACACTCAATTTATCATTGTTGTTCAGGAGAGGTGGTATTATACACACACACAGTGTTGAAAACGGCTACAAGTAGAAAATGTTGTGGAAACTTTAGCCATCTCGACTATATATAAGTTAGAAGCAAACCAGCCAAAATAATCATATACTTTTAATATTTTGCTTGTGCTGCTTCTAAGCAGAAAAAGAGTAAAGATTATTTTCGTTTGTTCTTAACGTTAAAGAAAAGTTAAATTTTGTTCTGTAGTTTTTGCTTTTTTGCTTGAAAAGTAAAGTGAAGAAATCGATTTAATTCGTGTATTACACAGAAAATATTCAGAAAAGGAATTATAATTTCAACAAACGGATTTTGTGATCTAAGAAAGGATACAAATCGTGTGGTTGAAAATTTAAAAGCTTCTAGACAAACAAAATTTGTGTGAAAAAAATTAAGAAATTTTACGAAAGTTAAATTCATTGCAATTCAATTTTTAAAATCTTATCGAAGTTTATCAAAAAAATAAATATTCACAATGGCAGTATCAGTCGCAGCTCACTCAGCACCAAAAAATCGTGAAATGTTCGCTATTAAGAAGTCTTATAGCATTGAGGTAGGTTTAATATAAATTTAAAGCGTGCAAAGTGTAAATTAAAATTTGTCGTCATCTCAGAAGATTTTTGTTCTTATTTATCATTTCAAAAGTGTTAATTCGTCACAATAATTCCCACAAATTCTTTAGAAAAATAATTAAACGAGCAAAAAAAATTAATTAAATGCTTAAAAGATTAGAGATTAAAATACTTCAGATTTACTATTTTTAAATTAAATATAAAGAGAATAGAAATAATATTTCGTACTATCTAAAACTATACTCATGGCTTTTAAAAAGTAAATGTGCAAAAATGTGCTAAGCAAAATTGAATTTGATAAGAATGTATTACTTTGTTCAATTGAACTGAAATTCCCATACATTTGTTCACAATCTCCAATTATACATGAACAAAACTGATTAGCTTAATAATTCCGAATGAAATTTCTTTTTTGATAAGAAACTATCTCACGTTAATCGCACAATTGCAATTTTTAAAAATTTTTTAATGCTTTCAACTTAATTAATTGATTCAAAATTAATGTAAATTAAGTTGCACAAGATTGTGATTTTTTAACAGAGTTTTTGATAACGGATGCAATTTTAAGAGAAAACTAAATCTCACGCCAAAATTGATTTTGCCAATGACTGTTTCCACGCTTTTTTGATTTCTTAAAAATTTAAGAGTTAGAAAATATTCCAATGAATTGAATAAAAATATCACTTCCTTAGATCTATTGGATATACAGTATGTAATAAACTGATTGAAAAATTAAAAGAGATGGAATGTTCTAGTTCATTATTAAAGTGTAAAAACCCGACTTATCCTCCTAATTGTCAATTAGAGCTGTCAAACAAACTGTGTTGAATTGAGTAAAAATTATAGGAAGTGCATGCCGACAGAAGAAATACTTCTATCTAATAAAAAAGTCTTAAGCGTTAAGAATGACTATAAATTTTGCATTAATTGAAAGCTGAGTATATTTCTTCGTTAGATCGATAAAAGTGTCAAGAAAAATTAACCACATAATGAATAGTGTTGAAAGTCGACAACACCCCGTTAATGATTCTATCCACTTTTCTCTTCCATACTTAGTCTATTCTTTCTATCTTGTGAGACAAGCGTTCGGAATTAAATATGATAATTGAAAATTTCTAATTGAATGGCAATTAAAAAGACATAGACATCAAAAAACTAGTTTAGATTTCAAACTAAGTGCATAAGTTGCATCACATTCCTTGTCTACAGTCTATAAATTATTTAAATCTTTTATTTCAATAGTCATTTTTATATCCAATAAATGATCAATCAATTTTATTTTAATTAAAATATAAACCTACTCATCATTATTATTATTATTTTATTTGCAAATAATTAATGTCAATGAAACGATTATTAATGAAAAATTTAACCCCCAATTATGAGCTTGACATTAGCATTGTGAGCATGATATTGAATATTGTGCATATTGCGGTAGATTTCATTTCAATGCGAGAATGACTATATAAAAAAGATTAAGTGTGTAAAGCATATATAGTAAAACTTTATTTCAATTAAATTGCCAAGTTGGTTCAACGAACTGTCAGAGATCGAAAAAACAATAATTCAATCTGTTAATTTGTTAATAGTGCAAAAATATAGCGTATATTGTAATGTTCTCTGGTTTGGGGGCTACCATGAAGTGTTTCTTAAATGTGCCTACGTGACTCGCTCAACATATGCACTAAACTCATTCCAGTAATTGGTTTTATGTTATTTTAATACGTCGCATAAAAGTCGATAGTGAATTGATACTTTTGTAATAAAACGCATCTAATTGCATGCAATTAATATTCCTTCATGGCATTTGCTTTTACCTGATATTTATATTCTATCATACTCCTTAAATTAATTGGAATTTGATATGGTACTTTCACAAATAATGTTCTTATAAATAGTAGAGGATATCCGCGTTTCAATTCAATGCAACTCGATTACTTTAATTCAGAAGTGATAAATGACTGAATATTTTTTAAACATGTGAAAATTGCAATCGATTAATTCCAGATGCTAAACACTCAATTTAAAATAGAATAAGTAGTCTTAATTGTCATTCATTTATTACCTGCTTCACATCATATCATGCAACAGCAATTAAATGAAAATGATTTTAAAAACATATACGAGAATAAGTAGAAAGAAGAAAAAGAGGGTCATAAATGCCAGTTATCAATGAATATTACCAGACTTTCCAATCATGAATATTTTGTCTACCCTTAAAAATAAAGTATAGATAGCGATTATTTATGAACGAAACGAGACAAGTAAAAATCAGATTTATGGATACATAGATTAAGTGATGCAAATAAAACCCACATAGAGTCATTCATCTGCCTCAGCTGTTTAGTTTAAATATTTTTTTCTACTATTTTTGTTCAAGTCGCGTGAATAATCGCAAAACATTTTTTTTTTATTTACAAGTCGAACAAATCGCGCTCGCTTCTCTCGCTAGTCAATAAAGTGAAGCTTGTCTATAATCCGAATCGATATCATCTGAATTAATGAGTGAAGGCTTTCAAAGCCTTGACTTAGAAATAATTTTATTTTTTTCTGTTCTGTCTCTCTTACTCTTTATTTGTTGCACCTGTTGCATTTTGTTTGTAAACAGGCATATGTGAATTTTCAATGCATTTACTTTATGCATTGTTTAAAACTTTTTTTGTATAAACGTTAAAAGCAAACGAAACGATTTGTTCATCATATTGGGGCAATAAATAAAATAGACACTTTGCATAATTTTCAACTTTGATCCTTGGTCTTGCTTGCTCGTTTTAAAACTGCACATGTATACGCTTTTAATTAGATGTTACTATTTCTTGTTGCACTGAATATGAAACCTGCAAACAAGGTTAACGCCGAAGAATTAATTGATTTTTGTGCTTTCTGCTTGTGCTAATAGAGTCACTTCTTTTATTATTCAGTATGAGTTACAGCCTTACTTAATTTATTCTTAGGATTGGTAGTATTTTCTACAATTGGCCTACATTTTTTTATTATACTGAAATAAATATCCAATTTTGCATTTGACATAAGAAATATTAATTATTTGAATAATGAACATTAATCCATGCTGTTTTTAGCAAAGTATTTCACCATCAAGTGTTGCCAATGTGCTTTATGAACTGTTTCTTATAGAACTATTAACAATTATTAGCTGAATGAGTTTTAAGAAAATTAATTCAATAAGTTTTCACATTTATAATTAGCAACTTTGAGCAATGGCCAACTGAAGAACTATTAAATGACTTTAATACGGCTCATAAGAATCAATAAATGCACATTGTCATGTGCATATTCAAAATAAGTTTCCCGGAAGCTTTATAGTTTAAGGCATGAGCTTGTTTTACAGCACGATCAGACACGTGCTATCTTTTATTGAGATATTACTCAATATTTATATTTATAGCTTAAAACTTAGCAGTATGACTTAAAATTTGCATAGGTAATTAGGTCTAGTATTTGTCATACATACACGATTTTAAAAATTCCTTAATAAAACTCTACAACTGTATATGAAAAGTGATCTGAATATAAGTTCATACCTCACGATATAAACACATTAAAGTCAGTCGATTCGATAAAAAAACTTGTACTTAATTTATAAGTCAGAAAAAAAATCTGTTTCCATAAAAAAAGTGATCAGAACAGTTATAGTCTCTTTCCATAAAATACTTGTATCACAATTCTACAAGTATGACCTGATGTATATAAAATAATCCCATATCCAGTTTATGTGAATAATGTCATATAATACTTTTAAGTGATTCCGCGATGATTTTACCAGCTTTGAAATGCTTACTCTACTTTAATCATTAAAATGATTTGTATTACTTACACTTAATTATCATTAAGATAAAACTTTAACAAATTCTTGAAAAATCCATGCTAAGCATTTTCTAGTTTATTTCAACATCATTAATACAAAAGTCTCAGACTGTCTTATTAGAGCTTTAATCGTTAGAACAAAAGAATTCTGATATTTTATATCCGTCATGATGCACGACTCATTCCTTAGACTCGATAGAATTCTTTACACGCTCAATTAGCTTCATTATGATACTTTATTGCTAAAGCTATGTCCACTCAGCACAAAAGATAATTACAGTGAATATTTTATCCATTAACTCGTGTATTATGTGATAAACTTCATTTTTAATACATTATACATGAGTATAATAATTAAAATATATTTTATTCCGAACAACATCACTATGAGCTGATGACAAATAATTACACCTCTATCGATATTTCTTCCAACATAAAATCGATGATTTAATTAATTTATTGAATATTTTTCACATCATAAACAATCGCAAATTGTAGCGATTATATTAAGCTTTACATAAAACATGTAATACATACACGAAATGTAAATTTATTTAATCATATTCAATATCATTAAATTCTTCTAGAATGGATACCCATCACGCCGTCGTTCATTGGTTGATGACGCACGCTTTGAAAGTTCTGTAGTCAAACAAACAAAGAAGGTCGTATTGGAAGAAGCACGCCTTAGGGCTAATGGTGAGTTTTGCTGTTTTGCAGATAATTTTTAAGGAACTTTGAAACTGAAAAGGAGGAAATTAATTTCACTTCCTTGCTCAACTTGTTTTTGACTCATTTCCTTGCCTTTGTTCCTATCAAAATAAGTTTATACATTTCAAATCATAAATTTAATTGCAGTATAACAAAAAATAATTATTTCAATTTTGCTAGCCGGCTGAAGGTCACTTAATTACTTCTCCAACCTGATTTTGAATAGCTTTAATAATAATGTTCAATTTATTTACTTTATTTTATTCAATTACTTTTTCATATGCCGGCTGGTGTTTCTCATAATTTTAATAGTTGTTAAATATTCCCACATTGTTAACATTCTTTCTGATCATCTGGGTGTGCCTCAGGAAGGACACATGTGTGTTATATATGCTTTAATTTAGTAATGGAATGAATTAAAAATTAATGTCTATAGAAATGACAGCATTTATATGTCCAAACGAGATGTAGCTTCCATTTAAGGATTTTCAATGATCCATCTGTTCCGATTAATATTCTAGAACTTAACATTAGACAACATATCAAGTTAGTTTCAGGGTTAGAAGGCAACAAACTATAGACTTGATTATTTAGTAGAACATTATATTAAATAAGAAATAACTGCACTTAGATTGATTTCTTTTTCAAGCCTGAATAGCTGTATCTAGCAATTAAATAAATGTTTTTATAATATCAATGTTTCTTATATCCATTTTTTTCTGTTTTATTATTTTTTTTTGCATGTTGCATTATTTTATGCCTTAAATGAATGTGCTTTCTAAATGTAAAATAAATGTGTAGATGGATCAGAATGTAGAGATATTCCAAATGGAGAAAATGATGAAAATGAAGAAGAAGAACAAGAAATCGACGAACAGGAATACTATGTTGAAGGTTAGTATAACAGTGTGTTAACATTATTTATCTGGTTTTGTGAGGATGGTAAATTTGTAGACCTTAGATAGTTCCTATTTGTATGTACACATTTGGATACATTGCCACGAATGTCTTCCTTACATATTCATAAAACATAAAAAAATATATATCTTTGTATATTACTCATTGCATGTCCATATCGATCATTGTTGCATGATTTCGTCTCATTTATAGTTGATGATAATGTTTATGTCAAGCCACAAGATGGTGGAAACGATCATCAGCGTGAAAATAGTGAAAAAAAGGATGAAGATGAAGATGAAGAGAAAAAAGAAGAAGAAAATGAAAAAGAAGAAAAGAAAGTGGAAGTTGAAGAAAAGTCAGATGGTAAGTAATGAAGAAATTTTCAATTTCTAATAAATTTTATTCTCTCTCTTTCTTCATGACACAATGATCGATTTATAAGTCGTTATATGATGAGAACATTACACAGAACACTTTTAAGTGCTCAATTCCATTTTATCGTCCCACACACATACACACATCTAATGTGCTTTTTATGAATGAAAGCTTCTCTCATTTCCTTTTATTATTACAATTCTTACTGCCATTTATTTTCGACACAAAAATCCTTTTCCTTAAAAATAGAATTAATGTAAGGGATAAAATTCACATTTATCACACATATGACTTCATTCAATTCACTGGTCAACGGTCAACATCTCATTCTAAAGCAATTGATGTTGATGACTATATATATATATCATATATGTATGCTCAGACATTCATTCTTTTTGAAAGTGACATAAATAGAGTAAAAATCACTTTATTATGGAAAATATACAGCACGCAATATAGTTTTAATGCTTTTCTTTTGTTACTTACTCTTACTCTCCTTGTCTTTATGTGTATGTGGTTTGAATCTTACTTTTGACTAGTAGTATGTAGTTTATAGTAATTCCAATCCCTTCCATTTGAACATGATGCTGCTTAGAAAATATATATGTATTTCTATAATTTTAGGTCTTAAAAATATCACGTACGCAATAGCACATATAAAAAAAATCTCCTTTTTCTGCACTTAGCAAAAATGTCCACAATAAAAACTAACCATGTGGAAAGCTTAAATGGGAAAAGTTTTTAAGCATTTTTATCCTAACAAATTTCTTTTTTCTTTTCATCAAAAAAACTATTTATAGATTCGGAATTAACAGAAGAAGAAATGATTTTACAAAATGCTGCTGCTGTCTCAGAAGAAGAAGCAAATGCTGTCATTAAGGCAGCACTTGTTGTAAGATTACGCGATGGCATGGGATCATTGGGACGTATCTTGAAAGCTGTTGAAACTTATAGAGGAGCTGTTATTCATTTGGAATCACGCCAGTCACATGAACAAGATATTCAATATGATGTCTTGATTAAAACTGAAATTGCACGTTCAAGCTTGTTGCAATTATGCCGTTCACTTCGTCAATCAATGTCATTTGGAGGTATAACTGTTTTAAGTGAAAACAGTGTCAATATCAAGGCTCCATGGTTCCCCAAGCATGCATCTGAATTAGATGACTGTAATCATTTGATGACCAAATACGAACCAGATTTAGATATGAATCATCCAGGTTTTGCTGATAAGGAATATCGTGCACGTAGAAAGATGATTGCTGAAGTTGCATTCTCATACAAAAATGGTGATCCAATTCCAATCATTGACTACACAGAAGTTGAAAACCAAACATGGCAATCTGTCTTTAATGTTGTTAAAGATTTGGTTCCAAAACACGCTTGCAGAGAATACCGTAACATTTTCGAGAAATTAGAACAAGAGGGAATCTTCACAGAAAACAGAATTCCACAATTGCAAGAAATGAATGACTTCTTACACAAGAGCACTGGATTCACATTACGTCCAGCTGCTGGTCTCTTGACATCCCGCGATTTCCTCTACTCATTAGCCTTCCGTGTTTTCCAAAGTACACAATATGTTCGTCACGGAAACAGTCCAATGCACACACCAGAACCGTAAGTTTTATAATCATTTTTTATAACTCAATTATTGCTAGTTCTGAAACAGTTTGTTTATTTGATTGCTACAAAATTTATTCATTCAATCGCCTTTTCCTGTCTTTTTACTACATCATGATGACAAACTCATGATGATGACGATGAGATGCTGTAAATTGATTACAAGGAATGAAAATGTATAGGACAGAAATTTAATTACCCATGACTAAATGATATTGTGAGAAAATTGCTTTTAAAACTTTTTCAAGCATGAACATTATTTCAAGCTTTTATAAATTATCGCACTATCAATAAATGAATGGACTGAAAGCGATAATTAAGGAAGCATGTAACATAATTAGAATTGGAGGTTCTTTTCATTCATGATTTTACATTTTGTTTTAAACAAACCTTCGTAACAAAAATGTGATTTAAGTGCCTCAGAGAAATATTATTGCATTGCTTAAAATTAAATTCAACTTTTGTTCCTAGTACAGTATGTTTCTGAATGTGTTTCCTTTCTCAAATTTATCTGACATAAAATCGATTCTGTCCATCCAGTCGTTGACATTGTCATTGTCAATTTAATCAATACAAAATTTTCAAGTCCTTTCGGTCTTTTGTGACAGCAAAGAGCTTTAAACAATTTAATTTCAATGAAAATTTAATTTAGTATTGTTTAATTTCTACAGCTTTCAGTTCCAATTAAACTGCTCATTGATTTTCTATTTTATTTTCTCTTCGAAGAAATTTCACCCTCATTGAGTTTTGATTCTGTCGAAATAAAATCAACAGTTCATAGAACAAGAAAAGTTATCTAGCTTTGATGTGAAAAATTTTGTAATTCACAAAATGAATTTTCCATTTACGCTTTGGCTTTTTGTAACTGTAGCTGAAGTAACTTATTCCCATTTTCATTATTGCCGCTTTTTTTGTGTGCTTTAATTTACTTCTTCCTTACAATTGTTTCCCTTCTTTTTATATTGTGAAGACTCTCTTATTGTAACTGTTGCGCATTTGAGCGGAAAAGGAAAATTACGACAGTGAAAATAGAAAGAAAATTGCATATAAAAAGAGGCAAAAAGGCTAATGGAGTGATACTTACAATAGAATCACTTTTTCTTTTTTGTCTGCCGCACATTCTTTATTTTCCAACATTTTTTTTCTCTTCCGTTTCCCACACCCAATGACATAAAATGTAGCCAATTCAATTTGAAGAGATTTTGTTCTTAGTAAGCAAGACGGGAAATGTGATTAGTTTAAAAATAGCAAAAATGAAGAAATAAATTCATAATCGCATTAGAAAATAATTTGTCTTAAAAATTCAACACGTTGCTATAGCATCAATTTATTAATACCATGAAATTTTCCAATTTTCTACTATTTACAGAGATTACATTCACGAAATGTTAGGACACATGCCACTTCTTGGTGACTCATCATTCGCACAATTCTCACAAGAAATCGGTTTAGCATCGTTAGGAGCCTCAGATGAAGAAATTGAAAAGCTTTCAACTGTAAGTATAGAATTAAATTGTATTAAGAATTTATATTTATTTAAACTTTGTTGGAAGCTCTATAATGTGTATAGGATTTAACAAAAATATTAATTTGTATTGCTTAAAATCAATTAAGCAAGAATGAGATTCGTACAAATTCCTGCTAGAGTGTGGAGTATATTGAACTATAATGTAGCCACACAGAAGCGAGAATATTAGCATTTATTATATAATATCAGCAATTATAAATTTATTTATACATAACTCTTAATCTCAATTAAATGATCATGACCTTGTATGTGAGCAAGAAGAAAAAGAGCTAATGTGTTCACATACATATTTGGTCGGTTCAGTTCAATACAAGTTTTTTATTGCCAACAATTATTATTGTTGTTGCTTTTGTTGCTACTTTTAAAGCAAACAGAAGAAGAAGTTGAAGAAACACAACAGTCATAAATTACTAGATTGAATCGTTTAAAATGCGAAGTTGGACAGGTGGTAATGATTATCTAATTGTGCATGTTACATGCTCGTTTTATGGTGTTTATGAAAACAAACATGTACATTACTGGCTTGCTTTTCTTGACTCTATTGTAACTTGCACTTGAACACCTTTCTCGTGTTCATAAATAAATACTTTTTGGCTTCGACTTGTTAAACTACTTAAAATATTACCATGAAGGTCATTAACAAGAACGAATTATTGCATTATGACCTTACTATGAAAATGCATTTACGGAACTTGTTCTCTATAAAAATTACCACAAAGATTGAATTACTGCCTGAGATATAAAAAATTTAATTGATTATAAATCTATCCGGAAACGATGAATTTTATTTGATTCACTGACCCAACATCTTAATTAAGTTCAAGTGCAGACTTTATTGTATGATCATGTAAAAATGAACTACAATAAAAAAAAAACAATAACTTTTCTTCTTCTTAATATTTTTTTATTATTGTTGAATAACAGCAATAAGGAAATGAAGGAAAGTTTCTTGTTTTGGCACAACCTTCAACATGCCAAGCAAGCCACGTGTATTGTATGCTAATTACAAGTTATGTGCAACTGTAGTGACTACTTCCAGATTTCATTTTTTTTAATTCCTCAATTATTCTTTCTTCCTTAAACAGGTCTACTGGTTCACAGTTGAATTTGGTTTGTGCAAGGAAAATAATGAAGTCAAAGCATATGGTGCCGGTTTGTTGTCAGCTTATGGAGAATTATTACATGCTGTCAGTGACAAGCCAGAACATCGCCCATTCGAACCAGAGAAGACAGCTATTCAACCATACCAAGATCAAGAATATCAACCAATCTATTTCGTAGCTGAGAGCTTTGAAGACGCAAAAGAAAAGTTCCGCAGATGGGTATCAAACATGTCACGTCCATTCGAAGTCCGTTACAATCCACACACCGAACGTGTTGAAGTTCTTGACTCAGTTGAGAAATTGCAATCATTAGTATCACAATTGAACACAGAGGTGTTGCACTTGACGAATGCAATCGACAAATTGAAGAAACCACTCTGCTAAGCTATTGAATAAGAAAAACATAACCTATATGATGTTCTTTACAGAATCATTGCCCGATAAACCTTATTAGACTTTATATTATTATGATAATTATTAATATTTTATTATTATTGTTATGATGATTCATGATAGTATGAAAGGAAGCAAAAAAGCAATTGTGACAATAATTATTTCTATTATCCAATCTTATGTGATCGAATTTGTTAAATCTAAATTCTAAATTTTATTGTATTTGCACACATATACACACACACACATGGCTAGTTTGTAGTATTTTCTGTATCTATGAATATATTTATGAAACATTTATAAGTTCTCATATTCATTTCGCGATTATTATGTTCTTTGTATCTCACTTAATGCTGTTTTCAGCAAGCACATTTGAGTATTGATTTTATTGCATTTTTTTGTATAAACTTTAAGAGAATGGCAATGAAAAAAATATGAGAAATTATTGAATATTGATATTGTTTAGGATATAAGATCCAAACTACACATATACACACGCATATATATAAAAGTATATTGCAAGAATGCTTTAAAAAAGTATATGATTTGTTCTTTTATTTGCTCACTTCCAACAGCATATGCTCAATAAATGTAATTATAGTTATCAGATGTTGTCATGACGTACAACTTGGAAACGAATTACTTGGCATTGTTGGGACAATTTAACTGCAATTTATTGCCACACAATATATTTTTATATCTTATAAATTATTTTCTATTGAAATGAAAAAAAAAACTTGATTTTTTTAATGCTCCTCCAATTCCACTTAAGATAGATAATCTTTTTCACAATTTAATGTACTTATGACAACGACAACATTGCATTTTATGACTGAAAAAAGAAAGAACATTCATTTAATGTCTTTCTTATTATATTTTGTACATTCTTATTATTAATGTGGAAAATCCTTTCGATTTTTTTTTATTATTTGTCTTGTGATTCAGACAATTACCATGAAATAAAATGTTCGAAGTTGTACATTAGATCTGCAATAATTATTATATGTTTTTATTTCCAATGTTTTTTTAATATTTTCAGTTGAGTTTGATTTTTGTGTACTTCCTTTGAGTTTCATTTATGAGTTTATGAAGAAAAATAAAATCGAAATTTTTCATGAGTGCTTGGTATGCGAATCTTCAGTATTTTTTGAAATAAAATAAAATGCTGTACTTTGTGTCAAGAATTGCCAGAGTGGGGGAGTTTTTTGCGATTTAAATCAAAATCCCAAATCAAATTGTGATTTTTGATTTAAATCTCACATAAAATTATTTTTTTTTTTTGGGATTTTAAATCATTTGAAGGTGAAATTTGTTAAGAATTTTTCAGATGATTATTACAAATCATTAATCATGATTCATGGATATCCTTTTCATTTTCATTTTCTGTGTCTTGTTGCTTAAGTATGCGGATGTTGCTATAGCTGTACATGATAAAGCATGAATGGATCTAGCTCTATTTGAGAAACTAGTCACTTCCAGTCCTTTTATAGCGCTTTTTGATAAGTTTTCATTGTCAAAGAGGAATATGTTTGTGTTTCTTAGCCAGAGATATGAGTAGATCCTTTACATCTCAAAAAAAATATTTGTTTCTTTTTAATCAAGGAATCGCATCCCGAAACAAAAAATTTTTTTGAGGTACCGACCGTTTTTTTCAGTGCCTGAAGACTGAAAATGTTAAAAACGAAGTCATTTAAGAATGAAGCACTATTTCTGAGCATTTTTAATCTTCAGGCAGTAAAGGAACCGGATGTAAAGGAACTGGGCAGTTCCAGTGTCTTCTCATACCTCTGGCTAAGAAACACAAACGTATTCCTCCTTGACAATGAAAACTTATCAAAAAACGCTATAAAAGGACTAGAAGTGACTAGTTCCTCATATGGAGCTAGATCCATTCATGTTTTATCATGTACAGCTATAGCAACATCTGCATACTTAAGCAACAAGACACAGAAAATGAAAATTCATGAACTAAACTATGGAATCAATGGTTGCTGTCATTTTTCCATTACCAGAAAGGATATCCATGAATCATGATTAATGATTTTTAATAATCACTTGAAAAATTCTTAACAAATTTCACCTTCAAGTGATTTAAAATCCCCATACATAATGATTTAAATCATAAATCAAAAATAACTTGAATAAAATGATTTTAATCAAAAATAATTTTTCAAATCATTGCAAAATGATTTTGATTTTGATTTATGATTTAAATCCCCACCCTGAGAATAGCAACAAATATTGACTTGTTATTAAAAAAAATGACTGTTTTATTGAGCTTATAAATATCATCTAATTGGAGAGTGGCCTGAAAATTTAAGGCTGGCAAATCAGTACACTTTCTTATTATTGATAAAGGAAGCTTAACTTATGTTAAAAGAGAATTTTAAAATCAAAAGACCAATATATACACATATAAAGACTTTATTGAATGTTGATATGAATCATATACTTGATGACCAGTTTGTTGCACTTATTAAAAAAATCAATAAAAAATTTGATGTTGAAGCAAGAATAAAAATTGATTTTTATTTTTTTAATAAAAAATTATACTCTTGACTGTCGGTTAAATTATTAATTTTTTCATAGTTCCTAAACCTTCGTAAATTATTTTCAGTTTGTTCGATATTCAACAGTCCTTCAATAAGAGAATCAGTAGAACGTGCGCTGACATTCAAATGATCTAAGCGTTGTCGAATATTATCCAAAATTGATCTATTTTCACGCCCATATTCATTGCTTGATTGAGTTTCAAAAGTACTTGGAATAAAATTTGAACTCGATTGATCGGATGAAAAACGAGTAGCTTCCCTTTCATCATCAATTCTTAACTGCTGCATAAAAATTTCATTTATCATTGATTGAGTTGTGAAGTCAATTTCCCCAATTAATGTGTAAATAGCTCCCCAGTTGCAGTCTTGATTGTTGCAGAAAAACTTGTATATTGACATAATAAAGCTTCGTATTTCCATACAAATAATTTCGATTCTATTCAGTAACTTTTTCTCTTCAGATGAAAACTGTAAATGTGCGGGTTGTGGACCAATTGGATTTTCCTTGTCATATGTTCGATTGAGTGAGCTTTGTGCTCCATGAGAAAAGTTTTGCATTCTTGAACTGCTAACATTATAAGTTTGTTGAGCTGGAGCTGGCATATCGAATGTTTGATTTCTATTTTCAATGTTAAATGTTTGCATTGGATTTGCACTAGTACGGAAAGTTCTATTTGAAGTCCTTGTATTAAATGTTCTATTTGGATTTCTGCGTGGAGTAAAAGTGCGGTTGCATTTATATGTTACATTTGAGGCTTTCAAATTTGTTCTTTGAGGTCCTTTGGGGCTCAATGTTCTTGTCTTGTTGCTTTTCATGACAAATGTAGACATTGTAGATTATTTTTTAAAATATTTTATCACAGAAAATTTAAAGTTTTTCAAAATGTAAAATTGAAACTGTATTTTATGAAAAAGCTTGCTTTGTTTTCAACATAAGTTTTAAGTGTTTAACGTGCTGTTGTTACTTGCGGCATCTGCTTGTGAAAATATATGTTCAACAAAAATAAACTCATTCATAAAATTTTCGGAATTTTCAAGTTTCTTTCTGAATCTTTAAAGGAATCTTCTTTTTATTTAAGTTTAATTTGAACCTTTTTAAAATTATGTTTTTATTGATTTTTGTTGGTCTAGGAATAAAAACCAAAAAATCTGAAGAATGCATTTAAATTATATTTATTTTTTCGTAATTTTCCTTGACTGCAGTTTATCAAGGTTTTTGCAAAAATTTTATATTTGCATTTAAGAATTAAATTTAACTAAAGCAATTTATTTTAAACATAAATAAAATACACGAATAATATTTCTGACTTATAGATGGAGCTTCTATATGATTATCATGTTCCTAAAGCAAAATTTTCTTAAAATGCCGAAGTTTTTGGAGAAAATAAATGAGATAAATTCTTCTATTAATGTAAATACCTCCATTTCTCGTCTATAATTTTTTATAAGCAATTTCAATGAAACAACGGAAATAACCGAAAAAACCAAAAAAAAATTTTTTTGTGCTTTTTGATTTTAAAAAACTTGATTAATCTTGAAAGTTTTTCAGCATTAAATGTTTTTAAAAATTATTAATAGTTCTTTAAAGTAAAAGAGAGGCTGTTTCTGATTAATATTCCAATTGAATTTAATTTTTCATTAATTACTTCCAAAACCAAAAACTCTTGCAGCGAAAAATTAATTTCGTTTTACATCAAAAGCCTCAAACTGTGCATCAATTAAAATTTTCCCACTCCCATTTTCCTTCATATGTAAATCAATTTCAATCATTTTCAATTAATAGTTCATTTGATAAAATTTCCGTAACTGTAAATTAATATTCATCTCCTGGGAAATGTATCAATCATCATGAGATTTCACTCGAAAAAAATCGGTTTTTTTAAAATGTTTACGAACGTGATACATCATCGTTGTTCTCAATACATGATGAACATAATGTGTTTATTCGATCCCTATTTCATTTGCTTGATAGCTATCAATCCCAATGTTAACTTGCATCACTATGGCACGCGAGCAAATATTTTGAAATTAATTTGTAACTCTTTCTTCTCTCTTTTTTTTCTGTTCATGAATGATCATATGAGAGAGGATAATTTAATGTTCAAAAACGTCGATGCTCAATTTTTCAGTTTTAATAAAATAAAGCGAAATTGTTAAGCACTTAACATATTTTTGACACGAAATTTAGAAGTTTAGAATTTTTATCAAAATCAATTTCAGAATCCATTGAATCTTATTGATTAAGATGAAATTTAAACTTTGAAAAATTACAGTAAGAAAAAGTGACAAGCTTTATCGAAAATACACACAGGAAAATGTGCTTAAAAGAAAATGTAAACATCAAACATTTTCTCTCAATAGGTTGGTATGTGAGTATAAATATTTTGGTTAATACCTTCGAAATTTACAGTCATGTATCAAGGAAAGTTTTAGGGTTTTAGAGTTGATTAGGGTTTTAATTTGCCAACTCTGATATTTTAATATCATTGATAAGTATCATTACAAAGCATAACAATAGAATTCATTTAAATAGGAATTTAATAATACGTTTGACGAAATACTTAATTCAATACACATTTTGTCACATCCTTAATAGTTGTCATTGATGAGGCACATGTTGCTTTATTATCTACTAATTAGATTCACCATCTAATTTTAGACCATAAACGTGAATAATTTTCTGCATTATAATTCTTGTCGCTTCACTCAAAAGGAATGAAAATGATCTTATTGAATTTATTTCTAATTATTGAAATAAGGTTGTGAACTGCATAATAATGCTTTAATATTTTGATATTAATTAATTTTGGTAATGATGATAAAATGTAAGTCAATAATACATAATATTATAGCGTAGTATATACAATTACTTACATAATTTATAAGCAAACTATCAAGGAATTTTTCTCGGGATATTTTAATTAATATCCCTTCTCATTTCGTCCTTGAGTCATGACAAAATCAGTTAAATATTTTTACTGAATGCAAGAAATATAATTGGTCATTTAGATATTGAATAACATTAAAAATATTCAGTTTGGAGTTATTTCCTGAAACATTTTTCATAGTTCTAAAAACGATTTGCCGTATTTTTTTTCAAAGAGAAACATAATCGTTTCTGATGAAAGGAAATAGCAATAATACATCTGAAACAGTGTTTCTCAAAATTTGTTCCATTAAGCACAAGTGTTTAATGTACTAAACCCGTCCTGGCCGACAATATGTAAACAATCAGACAAAAATTAAAAGTAAGAAGAAAAAACTATTAAAACAGTGATTTCAGAGAAAAGAAAACATTATAATTACTATTCCTATAGTCACATTTTATCTCCTCACTTTCTCTCTCCAATACATACATTTGACACCCAAGAAAATTTTTACAATATCGTACGTGCCAATTAAGAGATGAAGAAAAGTCATTAAGTGAGGATCAACTTAAAAGAACATTCAACCATCTCCATATTACACATCTGTGTGAAATTATACATTATTATTTTTAGCTCACTTAATATCCCACATTGATGATTCTCTCGATTTTCTAGCTTACTACTCAAAATAAAATTTTCGCGTTTTTCTTCCTCACAAAAAAAAAATCTTCCGATACTTTTACATCTTTAAGATCTGTTTCCTCTCGGTCTCGCAAAAAAGTCTATATAATTGTATGAAACAGACGTAAAGGAAAAAAAAAGTTTATTATGTTAGTTAAAGCTGAACTCTCTGCGTTGACAGTTGCCTCTATTAAGACGATTCTGTAAATAAAGTTCCATAAATTTTTTTTATTGTTTCTTCAACTCCTCGACATAAAGTGTCTTAAGTGCAAACAAGAAATAATTTTTAAACAAAAAATTAATTAGCAACAGCAAGTAGCAAAGAGGAGGGTGAATTTAGTTGTTTTTATTTCTAAAAGAATTAAAAAAGTTGAAAAAGAATTTTTAAAGAAGATACACAAGTGCAACAAACGGAAGTGAGCATCATATACAAAGTTTTGAGAGTGTAAAAAAGATTTAAAAGAAGAAGCAAAAAGTTGTTGATGTTGTTGTTATTGTTGTTGCCAATCCTTCCTGTTTCATATTGTGCATGAAGAGTACAAACATTTATAAGAAAAGAGAAGTACAGAAGCTGTTGTGATAACAAAGGCGCATCCTATCTTTTCTTCTTCTTATATATATCTTTACTTTCCTCATTCTCTCCGTTTTCTTTATTATTGTTACACGGAGTAGAAAAAAAGTGGAAGTTTATATCAATAGATATACACACGTACATCGCAGCTGTAAAAAGCAAGCAGGAAATTTTTGTCTTCTTTTGAACGACTTTTCTTCAAAATTAAATTAAAGTGATGACAACAAGAGGAATTCGTCGCAAAAAGTCCTACTTAGTTGACGCCAAAATTGCCGTATGTGGTCAAAAATCTGTTGGCAAGTCAGGTTTGTAAACAATCATCATGATTTTTTTCTAATAAAAATAAATAAATAAGCTACGATAAATTGAAGAAGTTAATGAACTTTCGTGATTCTTAAAATATTATTTGTATCAAATAAAAAATCTATCAAATATTGCATCTATCGTCAATTATAAAAACCAAAGGTTGTCACTTATAAAAAATAAATCATGGGATCTAAAGTTTGAAATAAATTTCACTAGTCTAGACTTTAAAATGCTTAATACACAACAAAATAACTTCCAAAATTCACATGGAAGTTAATAAACAGTTTTTCATGTGATGATGAAAATGCAAGGCAACAGACGAATGATGATGAGAGAAGAAAACGAAAAAAATATGTAGAAAAATATTTTTATGTGTGTAAAATAAAATATGTTAGCCTTGAACTATTTTTCTCATCGTGTAGCGAAAATAGAAAAATAATGAAAAAAGTACACAAAAAGGAAATTTTTTCTTATTTTTTTCTCTTAATTCTTCTCACATGCTTGAGCGAAAATTCATTTTTCTTCTTCAATCAAGAAGAACTAGAAGAACTGAAAGTAATGAAAATTGTTATTATGAAGATTGGACGCAGATTTAAAGAGTCATTGAAATTTCAGCTCGTCAGAAGCTAATTAACGACACGCCTTGAGTCTGTGAAATTTTCATCTGACAAAATATTAAAAAAAATTAGAAATAAGAAGATGCTAGAGAGATCCAAAGGGTAATGAAACGTAAGGAGAATGTAACATTCTGTCATAATTTTCTTACTTAAAATCTTCATTTGCAAAGGAGTTTCAAAGAGAGATTTACATTTAATAGTGATACTTCGTGTATTTCTTTTAACTTGAAAAAAAGTATACGATATACTCCCTTGTAGAATTAATTCAAAATAAATAAATTTTCAGTATTCATTCTAAAAATCAATTACCATATTAAGAACCACAATTGGAAATAAAAACAAAGTTATTCCATCCATAAAAAATTCCCACAATCCTTATTCAAAATTAACAAAACAATCTGAAAACCCACATTCTCATTTCTAAGTACTTCCGAATTCAACAATATAACCATAGCATTGTCCAAATTGATGTTCAATAATATATGCATTAGTATTTTACTTCACATGGATACAATGCATAAAAATGGATCATCAATTCTTTTTATATAAAATGCAACGATTTGACTTTGAATTCTTTAAATTTACATTTTTGATGAGAAACAAATTGACTTTTTAAGAATTGAACATTAAAAAGTTAACTTTAAATTTAAAATGCCTTAAAAATTTACAATTGCTCGAAAAATGAACATTTTAGTTTTTTTAAAAATTTAATTACAATTTTAAAGAATAAGAATGATTTTGAATGAAAAAAAAAACTCCTTGACTTATGTCTAGACAACAAGTGAATAAAGTCATTCAAAATTTGAGCTCTCTATTGTATAAAGACAATACGACAATAAAACAGCAGACATGACCATACCGAATTGTTTACAAAAAGGAAGATGAAAACTTTTTCTACGTTCCCAATAATTATTCATATTTTATTGTCATTTACGTTTTTTACGAAAAAAAAAACATTACAATTTAATTGCACAAAGCTGTTTTTGCTATTGTAAATATCAATATTTTCTCCTCACCCAATTGCATACATTTTTAATTCATTTATACACACGTATAAATTTATGCCGAATGAAAAAAAAATTAAATTACAAAAAGTCTGCTGCTCGACACCCAGACTCTCAACGCTTGTAAATAAAGCGATTCTCTATTAAAATGGAAAAAATAATAAACATTTAAAAAGTTTTTATTTTCTGCATTTATAAAAATTCATGGAAAGCACATGTCTATCCGTGTAATGAATGAGTTTGCGGTCTCTTTCACTTTAGACATATTTCAAAAAAAAAATTCCTATAATACATGGTCAATTACAGAGTAAGAGCAAAATATATCGAAGCGGAAAAATTGATTGCAAAAATTGAATAAAAATTTTCTGCTGATTTTTTTTTCATTAACTGTTTTATGGGTTTTTTTAAATCGATTTTTTTTCTCGTTATTTACGTATTTTTGTTTTATTCTTCAGTTTTCCACACGGTTGGGAAAATAATAATTTTGATTTTATATTATTCACAAGCTTAAACATTTATTAATGAGCTTTTCGGAACAGCGATCATTTCAAAAGTATTCATCATACAATTTATTTTAATGACCTTTTATCCTTAAAAAATATTTTTTTTTATTTTCTGTTGTTTTTTTTTCTTATTATGAATTATGAGTTTTGGGGATTTGAAAATTGTTTTTACAAATGTTCATAAATTTTGATTGCTTAGAAAACAATATAATCAGTGTAATCGCAGTATCGATTCCAAATGTATCAACCACACAGCGATAAATTTTATTCTGTGAAAAATTTATGAATTTTCTATCAAAATTTCATCGTGAATTTTAAATTTTTAATTTTGTGTGATTTTGTGTCCAGAATTAAAATTGTCCCTTCGAAATGTGTTCAGTCAAAATGAAATTCACACATAAAAGCGAATAAAATTTTAAAATTCAATATTTCATTTTAAATTATTAATGATATTAATTTTAGCAAAATTAGAAACGGAATATAGGAATTGAATAGCTGTAGGTGTCGAATTTATGATTATTATCACCATTATTATGACATTGATGATACACAAAATGTATTTCAGAACAATTTTTGTTTCGAAATTTTCTCGGTCTGGACTACGTAAATTCACTTGTGTATGATATTCAAAATTTGCGCGTTTTGTTGAAAAATTTATGAAAATATTTTTATTTGATTTAAAAGAGACGTGAAAATATTTTGATTTTCTGACATTTTCATTTTTTTACAAAAACTTTTCATTTTCAAGAGAACGCAATTTTTAAATAAAGTAATTTATAGCCTGTCAAGAACACAAAAATTCTTTTATTCCTTTGAGCATTCTTTTAATTTTCAATAATAAACTGTTTAAAATTTGGATCGTAAAAACTTACAAAATTTTTTTCTCTAACACGTTTATAGTCACTAAGGAAAACACGAAAGTTTTTAGCATCTTAAGAAGACTTTCGAATATTTACTTTGATTTTAAGTCATTTTAAAACCACATAAAAAGATGAGAAAAAGCCGTTAAAAATTATTGGTTGGCATTATTCATCAATATTTTATGGCATGTGGACTCTTTATGGCAGGTGTATTTAAAAAAAAATCTTTCCTTTTAGTCACAAGATTTATTCAATAATAAAAAGAAAAATCATTTTCAGAATGCATGAAATCTTTTATTGCATCGTTTTTCAAAATAATTTCAAAATTAAATTCTTAGAATATCATGCAGCATTTAATCCCTATTTTACCTAAACTTTTAGACATCAAAACTAGATAATTTAAAACAAATCAGTTTTAAAAATAACTAAGAAGTATATAGCAACGTGAAACTAATATTTGTTAATGATATCCACCTTAAACAATCGAAATCATATCACATTCTGTGACTGACACGATCAACTTTCAGTGTTTACTGTGAGATTATCATTTGAAACATTGGCATATGTGCAATGTATTAAAAATAAAGTCAACAGAAGTTTTCAAAGTTCAATTAGTAAATTACCAATTGAAAATTATGTAGGCTTAAATAATCCAGTTAAGTTGTACTTAATTGTAAATTTATCACATATTCTAATTCGTAAAACTAATAAAGATCGTTTTTGTCCTAAAAATATCCCAAAATAAATTTTATTTCTTGAAATTTGTCGATAACTTATTCAAAATAAAATCAAATCTTTCACATGTCAATAAATTATTCTCGGATTAGTATTTAAAAAATCTGATACCACATGTCCCTCAATATAGCAATCATCAAATTAAATAAATGTTAAAATTCAAATTGTTTGAAAAATTAAAATGAATTTTTATGTATATTAGATATTTATTTTTAATATCCACTGATCTTAACAATTTTCTTTATATTAATAGAAAATAATTTTTGTTTCCAAATGCATTATAATGGAAGCAAAAGAACATTAGGAATACAATTTAAAGTATTTACAATTTGGCTTACTTTACCCGATTTGTATCGCTCGAGTCAATATTTCAGTACATATATAGCATTACAAAAACTTTAAAACTTATTTTCACGATGATTTATATTTTTTTTTGTAAGTAAAAGTCTTCAAAAATCTATCTTAGTCCATCAAAACAAAACAAATAAAGCTTTATTGTTAAAAATAGGCTGATAACAGATAAACGATGAACAATACAGATCCATTCTATTCAGAAAATTCACTAAAATCATCAATTTTATCTATAATTTTCTTTTCAAATCTAAATTGATTTTGAAATGAAAAACGAAACACTTCACCTGAAAATAGAAAATTTTAATTTCGAATGAAAGGGTTTTTAATGGATTTTTGATGAATGTTTGAAAGCTTGTCAAAAGCATATTGAGTTTCGATCAAGCTGAAATTATTGATTAATTTAAACATCAATAAAATATGAGAGAAAATTTCATTAATTTTATTTTTATATCAATAAATATTTCCACAGCACTTACTGTTCGATTTTTGACGAAGCGATATATAGGCGAATATGACCATCAGGCGGATAAAGTACACAAACACGAGATTCTTGTTGATACAGATTGTGTTTTAGTCGAAATATGGGACACATGTATGGTAAGTAAATATTTAATATTATTAAATTTAAACATTTTCGTAGATTTAAACACTTTATTTATTGTAAAAATGACATCTCTTTTACTTGATGGCACTCAATGTCGCATATAATGAAAACAACAATGAAATGATAAATTGTGTCTCATGAAAAAGTCATTTGTTAAACATTTTCATCGCTAATTGAGTCAATGACATGATCCTCTCAATGCTACAATTTTTCCAACCATCTTTTTGTATTCTTTCTTTTTATTCTGTCTTCATCACTAGCTCATTTATTCAACAAGCATTTTCCTGATAATTAATTCAAATCTTTACATACAGAGATATTTTTTACAAAGCCGTACTCAGAGTTGGAAAGCTAGAAATGTAGAGTAATGTAGTTGAGTAATGTAGTTGTACTGTTTCGATACTCAATATTATAATACACTTCATTTGTGAACAACCGCTTTTATTAGTGAAAGACTTAAAATTTACATTGATTTATCACCTAAGCTTAGTGACATTCTCCTACACTGTCCACTCTTCTCAGCTTGTCGCGTGGTTTTTCCGCATCAACAATTTGTGTGGTTTACGTTTTAAATAGTCTCGGAAAATTCGCATCTCTATTTCATCCTCCTCGTAGAATCAAAACTGAAAAGAAAATTAATACAGATAGATTTTCGTATGGAATGTTAGCTCCTCACAAAACGGTGATATTAATAGCCGACAATTTAAAATCATCGAGATAAAATTTCATTTTTTTTCTGTAGCAAGTATCATTTGATGATGCTTTATTGTTGCCATTTTTCCTGTCTGATTTCAAATATTGTTTCATCTAATTTTCCGTCACGCGACAGTTGAGATTGTCAGTTTTAATCCAAGAAATAGTTCATCGAATCATGAAAATTGTATTTTTAATCATTCGAATAGATTTTTATCGTTGTAAACTTACGTGTTTGTGCCAAATGTGACTTGCTGTCTTCATTCTACATCTATCTTATGTTTATTTATTTTATTTCATTTTGGTGTATACTTTACTCTCCAATGGATGGTTCAATGGATAGACTATAATAACACGTCGCCACAACAAGCATGAAAAGTATACAATTTTCTTTCTTTTCCTTCTCTTGGATGGGATATATAGACGTAAAGAAATGAATGAGACAGTCATTGCAGTGTGAAGGAGAAAAATCCAATTTTATTTTAGCGAAATTTTGATAAGAACAGACAATTTGTTTCTTCTTTTTCGGGATCATTCGGGTATTATGTAACCTAATGGTAATCATGAAGAAAAGATTTGCAAAAGAGACTTTTTTTATAGATAATAGTTTCGTTGCCATGCCATAAGATTTTTTATCAATATTGCGCTCTTGACATTTGCTTGATATCCCAAGCGTTCTTAACAATTTTCTTTCATAGACGATTTGAACGATTTAAGCATGACGTTAGTCGTTTTTTTATCATTTGACGTCAAAAATAATTTTCTCTATCTTTCTTTCTTCATTCATCGACAGCATGCCTTCAAGGCAAGAAATTTTTATGGGTTAAGTAAAAGTGTGTTTAATAGGAATCTTATTTTCACATTCGTAATTTGTTATAAAGTTGAACTCAACAGTAAGCGTAGAGGAAAATTTATATATTTCGGCTAAATAAATTGAGAAAACTAAATGAGTTTAAAAGAGAAGTCCATATGCGATATATTCCCACGCATATCGCAATCAGTATTTAAAACAACACTTTTTCACTAGCTCAAGCAAAAATGAAAAGAAATCTGATGAAAATTATCATCGTCATTATCATTACCACATAATGTCTTTTTTATATGGGGAACTGTACTCATGTATCTCCCCCATTTTATGCTTTGTACGATAATAATAAAAATAATAAGCCAGACAAATGTGAAAAAGTATAAAAATAAAAATTCTCATCATCATCGACGTGCAAACGACTGAGGAATGGTGATAAATTTTTAATGACCAGCATTTGCGAATTGCGATGCTAATTGATGTCTCAAGAGAGTGGATTATGCTTCTTTTTTTTCATCTCTCCCGTTTTTGTTCAACCCCAATTTAACACATATTATACAGGATATCTTCACAATAGCATGAATCTCAATGGCAATAATGGTGGTGTTGAAATTTGCACTTTATTTAATTGCTGAATAATTTATATTATCGTCGTTGTCTGTTACGTTTGTTCAGCTTATTTGGATGTGAAGTGTCAAAAAAAAAAAGTCTAGAATGCTTTAGAATTGGTGCAAACTTTTTCATGTGAATGTTTAAATTTTTTAATAAGAATCATATTTGAATGACAATTGTTTATTCAACCGTTTTTCTGGCACCTTTATCCTTACCATCTCAATAAATGACTTAAAAATAACTTTGGAATTTAAATAGATGAATGATTTAAAAAAATTAAATTTTCAATGGCGTGAATGAAATGTTGCTGATTGCTAAGTCTCGCACTCTACATGAAGATGAAAAATAAAATATTATAATTTACCCTTTTTAATATATTTTCCATATTTCACATATTTTATTGGTGTTGTATAAAAGATTAAGAAATTCTAATTAAATATAAAACACTTGAATCAAAAAAGAAACAATTAAATCCTTAGCAAAGTTTCTGTAATGAAATTTTATGTCATCCCACTTGCATTCAAATTTATTTTAAATATGACAACGATAAAAGCTGCAATGACCAGTGAAAATCAGATTGACTTATATTGCACATTAATTTCCAATAAAAAATTATTATAAGAAAATTTAATACTATGACTTTTTAAAGCTCAAAAGCAATAAATCACAGTACTTAATGTAAGTTCATTCACAAAAGTACGATTTGCACGATTTTCGATTATTTTTATATCGTCTACATTGCACATAAAATAGATGTCACACCAAACTGTTGATCCTTAAATCATATCTTAAAGCATGAATTTCACCTTAACGACCTTTTTTACACTCTCAATGTTTGAATGTCTATATACTTTGTCATCGCACTTAGCCATAATTCTAGTCCATGTCTATTTAACATGCATGTTATTTTCGACATGAGGGAGTTGTATAGATAATATAATGCTTAAATAATGACTGTTGGATCGTGCCCAAGGTGCAAAAAATACAATTAAAATTTGGATTTCGTGTGTGATAGAATGTCTACATTTATTTTACTATAAAATCTACACGTTCACGTAGTTGACGATGATGATGATGATACATTAAGAAGATGAAACCTGTCAACTTTTATGAGATCATTTAACTTGATTTTTATATTCGTTTTCATTTTCTACGGCTAGTCTCTCATCAGTAGTGTAAAAATATGTACTATTTAGTGCCAAACAGTTATAATCTATGAATTCTTTTGTCAGGGAAAATGATTAATGATGCGAAAGTAAAGTTTGAGGTTTGTTATAAATCACATCCATCAAAAAAAGTCATTCACTGTGTATCTTTTAAGATTAGACTTTCTCACATAATTTTGAGAAATTATTTAATACCTTCGAAATTCTATTGCAACAATAACAAAGATTGAATTATTTCTACAAATGTCATTTTCAACAACAATTTGGCAATCACTTGTAAAAGTATTTTATTTTTTTTTTTTGTTCATAGTCAGGTGATATGTGACAACACTAATAACAAGGCTAGATAAATGTATGTAAAGGCAAGCACTAATAAATATACGGTAGATGACTATTAAATGTATCATGACATATGCACGTCGCAGTTTTAGAAAGAAAGATAAACGATAAAACAAAGGAACAAGCGAACACCATTTAATGTATATGCTTTATGCTTTATATGATATGATATCATTTTATTTCAACGACATTTCTCTGAATTGGACATTTGACAATAAATGAACACTTGAGGAATATAATCTAGTTCTTAGATAAAAAGAAAGCAAAATTGATAGAAAAAAGATTTTTTTCTTTCGTTCTTTCGCTTTGCGGATGAAAGAGCAGGCAAGCACAAAAAATTATTATTAAATCGACAGGCATTGAGTACACCTCTTATATGGTATGAATCGTAGCCAAAAAGAAATAATTTTATATCTAGCAAAAAATTATTATCTTTTTATTGAATTTTCTATTTCCATCTCTCTTCATCGCGCAATCCCTCTCCCCTCAAGATATACAATTTTTTTCTGCTTCTGCCATGCCGCTTCAATAGTTGATGTCTTGCCAAAGGGAAATAAAAAGAAGACAAGTAGAAAGAATCACAAATCGGTTGTTATCTCTTTTATTATTTTCTTTTTTATGTGAAATTATATTTTATATAGACTTTTGCCTCTATTCTCATCCTCATCTGGCTTATATTTTATTTCCAATCATCATCATCATCATGATCATTTCTTTGTTGTTGGTGGTGCCACTCAAACTCTTTCTCTCATCCACTCAAAAGAGCATTTTTTTCCACTACTTGCTCTTTTAAAAATAATTTTCTTCTCAACTATACTATACTTACCAATTGTTATCCTAAATTGATGTGATGAAAGTGGATAGAAATGTTTTTATTTCTTGCAATTGCTTTTTCATTTCAATGTCTTCATTTTATGAATCAAATGATACGTGAAATGGTCTCGACGAAGCAAATGACGACAAATGAAAGAGTAAAGTGAACGTTCATACATTTTAGAATAAAAGGAGGTGGCAAGATGAAGAAAACGGAACATAAAAAGAAAAGTTTTCAATGAAAAATTCAATTTAGTAATGTAAGGAATGAAAAAACATGCTTTTAACATACTGTACACATGAACAAACCAAAATAGCATTAACAACAAATTAAATGAACATGAAGAAAAATAAAATAATGAAAGGAATTGAGACAGAGCAGAAAATGATGAAGGAAACTTTTTCATTTATTTTTTATGCACTTCAATGAAAAACAACTAAGGATTTTTTTTTTTATAAAAAAGATTTATACTTGAACAAATCATCAGATTGCATTTTTAGACGCTGATGGAGGTTACTTGCACATATTTCTGCAAATATTATTTTAAATTTAAAAGGTTGAGATTTTCAAGCTTGTGAATCGATAAACATTTCTTGATAGATGTTTTACTTGTAGTTGTGTTTTTTTGATGAAAGGTCTTAATAAAAAACCATTCATCGTGGCACGATCATTGTCGTTGTTGATGAATAAATATTTTGCACTGATTCCTTTTTACTTTACTTCGTTCCTTCGCTGACTGGTCAGATTAATTGCGTCCAAATGTGGCTCTTTTGCTGGCTACCGTTTGCCAATTACTCATAACAAATCCAATACTGTCTCTGTCAACAGCTTCTTTCTAAAATTTCTTGATCACTTTTGAGCTTCTCATTATAAACCAGTGTACCGCGACACACTTTATTCTCCACAAGACTATAAATTTAATGAAAATGAATGTTTAAACGAGAATTTAATCAACTATTAGCATTTACGAAAAACAATACAAACACAAGATGTTAACATTAAGAATTTAAATTTCAAAATATCTTTCTATTAAGTCAAATATTAGGGTGACCATCTGCGTAGTTTTACAACGGACAGTCCTGTATTTCAAAACCCTGTCCTGTATAAATTTGAAAATTTTGTTCCAGGTCCTGTATTTTTTTCACGAAAATTTCCATTAATTTTCAAATTTTCCTTTGTGTCCTGTATTTTTTGGGAAATTTATCAAATGTCCTGTATTTTCATAAAAATTAGATGGTCACCCTATCGAATATGCAACATTACTAATTTTCATTTAAATTAAATTTTAAAGTGACAATACACCCACAAAATTTAAAAAGCATTGGAAATGAACAAAAAGTTGAAAACCAAACAATGAGAAATAATACAACACAAAAAACTACAAACTTTTCCTTCATCTTTTTGTGTTTGAAAATTTTGCAGTATATGCAGATCCTATCTCATATTAGTTAATATTAAACAAACAGATACATTCGTACTCTTAATTACGAACAAAATATGCATGCAAAAAAGTTTTCTATCGTACATCTTTTTGGCTTTCTATTTCATGTGAACAAAATACGGAGAAGGTGTGGAGAAAAATGAAGGAAATTAAAATTTTACAAATTTTTCGAAACCAACAAAATGATAGACAATTTTTCATTTCTCGATGCCAAACATTTATTTTAAAGTTTTGTTTAAAGTTTATTTAATGAATAAATAAATACAGAGTCTGTGACAAATGTCATTAAAGTATTTTATAATGAAATTGTGAAAATCCAGTGGGAAAATTTTAATAAACTTCAAATTATTTTTTCTTAAGAATAAATTCCACGTTTAATAAAATTTTCTTTTAAAATAAAATAAAAGAAAATTGGAGCAAAAAAAACTTTAATTTGATTTTTATGAACAAAGCAGCATTCTTTCGCCTTGCTTCATACCTATTCAAGTTTCATTAAAATATTTCTGAATATAAAGGAACGATGGTTTTGCATGATATAAAAATCTTCAACTTCTACGAACAGTACTGTACAGGTAAAATAATATTATATCTGAAAAATCTTCAGTAATCATAATTGATTACGAAAGTAAATGGAATATCATCATTTCCATATTTGATTGGATTTATCTGATGAGAGATTAACAAATGGGAAAATTTTTATTCTTTCTTAAAACGGAGCTTGTCTACGACTTTTTTTTTTTGGATAAGTTCAGGGATAATGTGCTCAACTTCTTCCAATGCTAATTTAAAAAGATTTTTGATAACAACTATTCCAATCTTCATTGATACTGTTTGTGGATTTTGATATTGTTTGATGAATAAGACAAGAATTTCTTAGATTTGCTTTAAGAACCTTTTCTGAATATTTCCCTGACAAATACACAACTTGAAAGAATTGGCAAAAAAAATTATAATTATGGAATGTTCAATCGTAATCTTGTTTAAAATGAAACTCACTGATTATTATTATTTTTCATAAAAAATGAAAATTGGGAAATTCCCTCCAGAGATTTTTTGATACACGGAAGAAATACGATAAGGACATCAAGACAGTTTCCATTATCATCATTGTTATCATAGATGTACACTTGTATAAATAAATGAATAAATAAAAAAATATTGTGCATTTTAAGTGTTAAGTTGAAAATATCTTAACTATGCATTTATTTCCACTCTATGTCTTCTGTATTGTTATCTTCAATGAGAAAATACAATAACGAGAAACAAAAAAATTATTATTTGTCTCTAGTACGTTTTAACTAGCATTTCTGTAGATTCAAGGAACATAAACAAGTGAAGAATAAGAAGAAGTTAAATGTGAAGAAAATTTTAAGATGTCAATAAAAACTTGTTCATACTCATAATTATAATTACACATATAAATACATCATAAGCATACAGTCATACAAGAAGAAAGTCAGTAAGTTAGATGAAGTAGAAACAACTGAATGAACAAGAATTATTTTATGATGATAAATAACAAATAGTTCATATACATGTATACATTCACATAAATGATAGGAAATAAAAGCACAAACTCAATGCTTGTATCAAAGTGTCAATTTAAATTTTATTCTGGTTGATCTTGTTTTTAATTTCAGCAAATTATCTTACCTATAAAATATTAATGCATTTATGTTTATTCACCTCTAAATTCGTATGACTTTTTGGGGTTGTTCAGTTATAGAGTCTAATTTTTACCGTCTATTACGTTGTATCCACTTGAAACACCTGAGACCTTTTTTGCACTTTTCAATTTGTGATGGACGTCATTTTTGAAAAACTCTTAAAGTATGCAAAGGGATTTTACAAAGGAAAGGTAAAGTAAGTGGACACACAAATAGAAATTTTTACATTTTCCAAATTTCTCCCTTATCTTTTCATCAATTCTATTAAAATTATATATTTTTGGAAAGCTTATCAAACTTCCAATATGATGACTAAAAAAGTTTTGGAAAATTTGCAAGTAATATAGTCACTTTCGGTAAAAACGCATTTCATATATGCAAGTTTTTAATGTTTTTCATTTTTCTTAGCAACGACTTTATGAAAAGCTTTCAAATTTTGCACACTCATTGCTTATATAAATGTTAATAACTTGTACAAGCTTCAGAATTTTTTATTGAGTTTTTCACGAGTTTTCTTAACATGAATTTTTCACTGTTTTCGTTGCTGAGGAAAATGAAAAAAATATGTGAAATGCGTTTTTAGTCATCATATTGGAAATTTGATAACCTTTCCAAAAAAAATTTCTAATTGTGTGTCCACTTACTTTATTATAATTGAGATGTATTTGAATTTACGAACAAAATGAAAGTTCTAAACAAATTTCACTTCAAAACTTTTGAAAGGAATGAATAAATGCACACAAAACTTTTGCATAAAATTTACTTGAATTAAACTTAAACTACACAGAAAAGTATCTCAAAATAATGATATCCAGTACAGTATGAAATTTGTTTTAAACAAACTTATGACTTGATAATAATTTTTTTCAAGTTTTTTTTTCAAAAAAACTTATTTTCACTTAATAAACTGTTCCAGATCCAAAAAAATATTTTTGATAAATTTTACTTCTAATTTGATTATTTCATCAATTCCTTATTCTTCTTTCTTACCACAGGCTGATGATAATGATTCAATATCAAGCAAATCAGAAGCGATGGCATGGTGTGATGGATTGCTTTTGGTATATTCCATAAACGATAGAGATTCATTTAATTTCATCAAGAAGGTAAAACAGGAGCTACAAAACAGTGACACACCAGTCTTATTAATCGGTAAGGATGACAGCTGCTCTTTACATGTCTGTTGCTGATGTGTTAATGAGAAAAAATAACACTTGAGAAAATTTATAGTGCTGAAAAGAAAACTGTTGACTCAATTAATATAAAATATCATTTTTGCTTCTTTATATCCTTTCCATCATCAATTAATCAGGTAATAAAGCAGATTTAATTCATTTACGACAAGTCAGCACTGAAGAAGGTGAAATATTAGCAAAAGATTTTGATTGTAAATTTTATGAAATTTCGGCAGCCGAACAAGTACAACAAGTAAGTGATGCCTTCCTCGATTTATGTCGTGAAATAATTCAAGCCAAAAGGAAATCAAAACAAAGCTTTATAGATAAGATTGATAAGATGTTGGGTGGTGCGCGTTACTACAGTCGAGGGAAGAGTGATAGTGCTATACAAAAGGAATAACTTTGAGGATAATGATGAGCAATTAGGACATAAAAACAGAAGAATAATATTTTCTTTACAAGCAATTATTTATGATCTCCAAAAGATGTCGTCGACAACAAAATAATAAATGAGAAGAAAAACTGCTTAAATGAGAATTTATATACAACAAAATATATTTATTTTGAAGAAGAAATTTAAATTGTTAAGAAGAATGAGTAACATTAAGGAATGTAATGCAAAATAAAAAGAGCTAGAACAGATAAAATAAAGAAAAGTGAAAATACAATACTACGGAAATATGCTTTTATTTTCTGTGCAAAAACGCTTGACTTATGCAAAATTCTTCATAATAAAAAATTACTGTCGCATGCTTTCTTTACAATTTCAAAACTGGATGAACGAATGACAAGAAAAATATTTTTTTTACTTCTCCTTTTTTTATCTTTTATTGCATTTTTTTTTTACTTCTTGCTGTGGAATAAAGATTCTTTGCTTGAAATAAGCATTTGAAACTTCTACTAATACGTCTTTAATCAATAAATTATTATGGTAAATTATATCTGCAGAAAAGTACAAATTTAAAATGAAAAATTCTCAATCGGAATAAAATCATAACTTTTATTGGCCGAATGGACATCCTCTTTCTCTTTTCAAGGATATTCTCATAAATAAAATTTCAAGTACAAATGCCATAAAAGTATTCTCCGCAATTTTATGTCTTATTAAAATGATTTTAAGGAGATTTTCATTCCATTTCAAAAAGTAATAATATTATTCACACATAATTCCTCATGCAACCTATCTAGTGTAATGCGACATTTTCTTTTATGAGGGAATGATTACCTATAAAAAATTTATTATTGCGAGACACTGCAGATATATCCTTTAATGAAAGTTGATTTTTGTTGTGAACATTTTGATTTGAAATTATTTGATTGACAATTTTTCAAGTCATCCTTATCAAAATGTGTTTGCAGCATAAGCAAATTCAACCAAGACCTCTGTCTGAACAAGAAATAAAAGTATAAAAAATAAAAATTTCTAGATTAAGCAAACTTCAAAGATACATAATATTTTAAATTTAAATGCTGAATGATTCCAAATGAGATCACCAACATTTAATTCTAATCCTTTAAATTAATCATCATCAATAAGAAATCAATGTTTTAGACTAGCATTGCATCATAATAAAAATGCAATCAACTTCATAGTGATTAAATATTTTTATTCCATTTTATGAGATAATTACATAAAACTTGCAATCGATTAGGATTCACATCAATTGAGCTTTTGATTCCCATTCGTCGTTATGTTTTTAAAATATGCTAATATGCTTGAAACAACTTAAAACTATTTTTTAAGAAACGAGAGTAAATGTACAAGCCTAAGTCTAAGAAATAATAAGTCTGATTCTTTTTAAAATTATTAAGCTCAACAGCGGAAAGATAATGTTTTGTTTTATCAACTTTCTTGTCCCAAAAAACAACGACAAAGATGAAAAGCTGAAAGGGATATTTATTATGTCTATAAAAACACTAGATTCCTTTAAATAAACCCCCACGTTGCCTTTATTTATAATTGTTAACATTCCTTTATAATCTAAATGTTTTTGGTCTTGTTCGCTTATTTTATGACTTGTTGGTTATTTTTTTAAACCTCCTTGTCTTATTCTTTAAATCCCTCTGTTGGCATGACGGCTAAAAAGTTTTGATAGATACTGTCGGATAAAAAGAACTTACTTGTCCATTAGATGAGCGATTCATTCAGTTATGATGATCTGTTATGGAAGTCGCCCAACAGAACTCAAAGTGAATTTTTTTTCCTCGTAAAAACCTCGCAGAAAAAGTTTTAATTTATATTTTTAAGGAAAAAAGAAAATCTTTTCTTTCCTTCAGTTCCATAACAGAAGAAAAGCAGGAAGTGGTATACAATAAAGATAGAATGGGTTCGCCTTAAGGGAGAAAATGAAATTTCCCAGGATGGATGATTTTTTTTCCGTGGTGCCAAGATTACATCTGCTTTTGGATCAGTTGGTTTTCAAATCATATAAAGTGAGACTGAATAAAATTAAATATAAAAAGAGCAAACTTTAAAGAAATTGAAAAGTTTGGATTCCGTTTGAGCAGTTTAAACGCATCATTCAATTGAATAAGTTTAAGCATTTACTTTATGACATTGGATGGTTGATTTCAGATTTTTGAGAAGAGCATCAAAACACTCTTAAGGTTCAACGTCGATATTAAATGACCCTGAATATAAAAACCTAGTGATCTACATAAGTCTATAGAACAAACTACGAAAAAATATAGACTTTCAAACGTAATAAATTCAGTAATGTTCTTTTTATTTAAATTCGTTCACAAACCAAATGAAAAAAGTTTCGTGAAATTATTTGCCATTGAGTAAATTGAATAAAAATCATGGTTGACACACAAAACTTTTTTGTCTTCCTCGTCCTTTTATTCACAGAAATAAAAGAAAAATAGAAAGGTAAGTAAAGTTTTAGATGGAATGACAGCGTTAAATGTCGAGCGACGAAAAAGTAAGTTGACGACCGAACAAAAAATAATCAAATGTTCATGATTTTTCCTCATTATCATTGGTATCATTATACATAATACAATGCTGAGGCTGAAAGCACGAAATAAGATGAGAAAAAAGAATTCAATTGTTTTCGAGCTAATAAAATCACGCGGGGATCGACGAATATACACAAAACGGAAATAGAATCTAATTTTTGAATTCATCTTTCTCCCTTCCCAACTTTTTTTTTCTTCTTCATTTTTCTACGTTTCATCATCTCTGACAAACTGGAAAATTTGACAATCAGAATATTTTCCTCTGTGTATAAATCTCACTATGCGTCGTCTGCCTATTATGATATTTTGACTTTGTATACCCTTCTTAATCGGCGACATAAAATATTTCAGGATTGTTCTAAATGTAAGCGGCCATAAATAAACAACTATAAATATATATAAACTAGTGTATTAGGGCCCGTTACGGGCCCGTTTCATTTAACCTAAGAACATGAGACTATCTATAGATCAGAACTTTATATTTCAACTCTTTTTTCATGAAACTTTTTTCATGGCAATAATAATCAAACCCTCCATGCAAAACGTATAATAAGTTTTTAAAATCAGAAGCCCTTCATTTCTAAAAAACAGTATATTGTCAATTTACAAAACCGTATAGTTCCTTTTTACAATCATTGTCTAAATCACTCATGTTAACGAAAAACATAATTGGAATTGAAAATTGTCAAAAAATTGAAATATTTAATGACTCGATATTTATAGTAAAAAAACTTCACATGGCTTCACAAAACTTCCCCCTGACACCCACCTTGTCAACATCTCCCAAATTATTGGCTTCACAAAGATTCACATACTTCACATGCTTCACATGACTTCACATGCTTCACATGACTTCACATACTTCACATGCTTCACATGCTTCACATGACTTCACATACTTCACATGCTTCACATGACTTCACATACTTCACATGCTTCACATGACTTCACATGCTTCACATGACTTCACATACTTCACATGACTTCACATGCTTCACATGACTTCACATGCTTCACATGCTTCAGATGACTTCACATACTTCACATGCTTCACATGACTTCACATGCTTCACATGACTTCACATGCTTCACATGACTTCACATGCTTCACATGACTTCACATACTTCACATGCTTCACATGACTTCACATACTTCACATGCTTCACATGACTTCACATGCTTCACATGACTTCACATACTTCACCTGGCTTCACATGCTTCACATGACTTCACATGCTTCGCATACTTCACATGCTTCACATGCTTCACATGACTTCACAAATGGCTTCACATGCTTCACATGACTTCACATGACTTCACATGCTTCGCATGCTTCGCATACTTCACATGCTTCACATGCTTCACATGCTTCACATGACTTCACAAATGGCTTCACAAATGGCTTCACATACTTCGCATACTTCACATGACTTCACATGCTTCGCATACTTCACATGACTTCACCAAGCTTCACATTAAACCCCCCCTTAGCTTCACATGGCTTCACAAATGGCTTCACATGGCTTCCGTTCCAGAGTCAATGACAGAATTGGGCTATTATATTATTGATGAGAAAGGTCAATTTCATAAGAAATAGAACAAGTAATTCCGAAAGATTTAAAGCTTTATTAAAAGATAAATAAGAATGAAAGAAAGAAAGTTCAGAGAAGTTAAACATATTGAGCTTAACCTACGATCAATAATCTTACCAGCTTTCATATTTCACAAGATTCAAACTTCATTAATTCGTTGCTGACAAACAGTACTTTTGTGTATGTGTGTACGTATTTAGATAAAGGAAAAATTGAAATAAATAGAAGAATAGTGAAAAGAGAATGAAGAGCGAGCAAGAGAGATTTCTATAAAAAAAACAAATCTATGGAATTTAATTCTTCATCTACAGATATCACATTTTCAACAATAATCATTTTCTGCCGAATAATGTTTGAAATATGCTGTTGGGAATTGTTCGCTCAATAAAATTTCTTTTTTTTGTGTGTAGGATTCTCTGATCGCTGCTTCTCATATTAAAACATTATTTGCACACAATTTTTCCAGTTGTTCTGATTGATTTGAGATTTTATAAACAATTCGGATTTGAAATATACTTGTTCAATATTATCAATCCATCCTTTTCCCTCTCTCAACCTCGACTCATTTTGTTGTTATTTGTCGAAAATTTCTTTCATCAATCCAAACGACTCGCAACTAAACATTTTCATGAGCTCGTGTGTGTTGATTCTGTTTCTATTTACAAATGAAATATCTGAAAGCATGATAATGACATGATACTTACTGATGCTGTTTGCTTTTTTATACAGCTGCCCAAAGCAATTTGAAAACATGTGAGAGAGGAAAACGGCGAACAGGACTATACGAAAATGATAAAATTGTGTTATCACAAATCTTCCTCGTGTGACCATCCACCATTGTTTATTGTTATTTTACTTTTTGTATCTCGATAAACGATATAGATATGAAGTGGATGAACA